ATGGAGGTCAGAGGACAACTTGCAGGAGTCAGTTCTAGCCCAGGTTGTCAGACTTGATGGCAAAGACCTTTACCTCCTGAGTCATCTCTCAGCTCTCACAGAAAATTTCCTGAGAAGGAAAAATTTTAAAAAGGTGATTATCTCTCTTTCTCTCCAGAGTTAAATTTGTAGAATTTCCCTGACTAGAGCTGGGGCTATGGAAGAAATGGATACATGAAGGCCTGCTTCTGGGTCTGGGACCAAGATCCAGGCTGCTTCTGGTGCAAGTAATTCAGGCTCATCTCTAATTTATCACAAGCCTGTGGACCATTGTTGCCTTGAGAACATGAGCCTGAGATGCCTCTCAAGAAATAGTGTCCCAAGTCAGGATGCTGGGCAGGCTGAGGTTTAAAACATCCTTTTGCTGCTTTTTTTTACAAGCTCAATGCATAATTTGTTGATCGAAGACATGAGAGAAAGAAATAGAATAGATGCTTCTAGAAAAACTTCTAAGGAAGTGAGAGCTGGCCTAGGGATTCTCCCCAACTCAAGACCAGGCCACTCACTCTAGCCTAGTCCTCCAGCCAAGCCAGATGGATCCCTGTCCCAGACAAGATCATGCATCTATAATTTCACTGGGGTCCTGCTTATTTGGGCCCTGACCTGCACCCAACAAGAAAGCACTCCAACAGATTATCACCACCTGTGCATCCAGCATGAGGTGCTACACTGAGAATATAAGCCCAGAGGAAGTGTCACCCAGAGGCATGGCTTAATTTATACTTCAGACATTGGCTTGGAAGTTGGGAAAGCGGTGGTGTATCAGAGACCAGCATATGTAATAACAAGGAGGCTTGTGGGACATACGATGCTGTAGTAAGCAGTGACCTTGGACTTCTAAGTGGGACCCAGATTGTGGAAGGACTGGGTGGGTGCCAGGACACAAGGTTTAGACTTTGCCGAAAGATGATGGGCAACTAGAGAAAATCTTTGAGCAGCAGTAGTGCATGGTTCTGTTCAGATGTGAACAGGGGCTGATGGAGGTAGGGAAAAATGATTTCATTTTTCCATGAATAAAGAGTGAATGAGCCCACAGTCCATCCACTAAGCCACAGGCGGGGCTGTATTTAATCCTAACACCCCAACAGAATTAAAAAAATAAAAATCTTTACCGCCCCCATCCTAACCCCTGCTTTGGGGAGGGGCAGGGGTTGACACCATTTCCTGAGAGATATACCATGGGTCCATCTGGGCTGGGAGAGCAACTCAGATGCTCAAACCTGTCACAGCTGCAGCAGCCAGCCCTCAGGATGCCGTAAATGAGGCTGGCCCATATGCACGGGAGGCAAGCCCTCTTGAAGGGCTTGCTGTCTGAGCCTCGCCTACAGCAGGAGAGATAAGAACCTACAACTGCTGCCCACAGGAAATGACAAAGCAATGACTGATCGGGGAGCCACTGCACAGGGCTCATTATGGTGCTTGCCAGCGGGCGAGCCACCCTTATCAGGGAGAAAATTGTATCAGGCCTCCTGAATTACTAGCGATTGGAAGCAGATTTCTTGGGACGCACTTTGTTAGATACCTAATGAGCGGGTTACAGGAGAGCAGAGCCCTCAGCCTGGCGGGGCGGGGGACAAATGTCTTTGTTAAACAGAATTTGTCAGTTTCCGCTCCAGGCTCCCTGGGGAGGGTTCAGGGCCAGCTAATTGAATTAAGAGACTGTGTTCCCCACAAAGAAAGCTCAAGGCGGGGCGAGAGGCGGGCTGGCCGGAAGGCGGGCACTTTCAGCACCAGGGACAGCAGCTGCAGCCCTGTTGCTTTGTAATTGCCAGGGCAAGCAGGAGCTGTTGCATTTTGCATGACCAGGGATGTAGGGGACTGAGTACGGAGGAGGGCGGCAGAAGTATTGAGGGTAGGGCGGGGAGACAGGTGACCTACAATGCGAACAGCTTGGAATGCCATTGGCCCAGGCTGTCTCGACAGACCCCACTCTGCTGGTTAGAGTGCCTGCTGGACATCTTCTCCCCACCATGTTTCCCACACGGTGTGAGGCAGTTGGCACAGCACAGGGGCTGGGCCAGGCGCTGAGTCTGAGCTGGTGCATGGCCACGCATCTCTTTGAGCTTTCAAAGTCAGTCTCCAATTACAGTCCTAATGAAGCAGGATCTGCTACCACCACGGAGCTACAGACTGAGGGGCCACTTGTCAGCCCCATGCTGCCCCAGCAGGCCTGCCAAATAGAAAAGCAAATAAACAAGCTTGTGAGGTGAGCATACAGAAGAGAATGGGGTTAGCAGAGCTAAGCAAGGCCTGAATAGGCAATTCATCTGCAAGGCTTTACTCTCTCCTGCCCCCTCCTACTCAGCCTGCTTTCCCTCCCTCCCCCTCAGGTTACTCCCCTGCCTAGTAGAGACTGGTGGGATGAATTCACTGTTTTGGACTGAAAGTCTCATTTTTTTAATCTATCTTTCTAATGAAATTAAAGGAATTTATACATAGTATCAGAATCTACCTAAAAATATCTAGTGCGTATGTAACTGACCCAAAAACATCAGTTCCACATCACTGAGTTGGCCTAGCTGGTGGTGGGACCATACAGGATGGACAGCAGGGAGACAGGCAGTGGGGGAGGGGACTCCCTTGGCAATTGTCCCTGCTTTCTGTAATGACTGGGCCACCTCTGGAGACCCCTTTTGATTTCATTACTCCTACTTCCTCCTCTAACTGCATTAGATGGCAGTCTATGAAATCCAGGGCATTGAGATTGGCTTTCTGCCTGGAAATGAGGAGAAATGTCATTACAGGTCCTGAATCAGCATCTCACCCGAGCTTGGACCCACCTGGTCACTGGGGAAGTGGTTTTTGCCCTGGCTAGGCTGGTTGTTCCTATTTTTCTACCACCCACCCATCATTTTACCCAGTAAGCAATACATAGTTCTCCCTCTGTAGTCAGTCTGATGTTCAGCATTTTAAAAATGTTTATGTGTCTGAGTACTTTGCCTGCAATATTCCTATATACCACATGCATGCCTAGTGTCCACAGAAGCTTGACAAGGGTAACAGATCATGGGTGCTGGGAACTGGAACTAGAACCCAGATCCTCCGAAAGAGCAGGTAGTGCTTCCCATCCCCAAGTGTTCAAAATTTCTGAATAGGAGACAGATGTGGTGCTTTTCCTTATCCAAAGTCTCACTTAGAAAACCCCAAACTGTGTGAGTCGGATGCTGCCCTGTGCACTTCCAGGGCATAGAAGACTCCATGTCATATGGGAAACAACTAAGTGAATCCTGCCCCTCTTCAAATGGGAGAAGATGAGGCAGGAAGCTGGGCTGGTGTTCACAGATATAAATGGCAGGCTGAAGTCAGCCTCAGGTCACCAAATGCATCCCTCTTCCATGCCAAGAACATTTACAGATGTTTCTCTTAGGAAATGCCTACCTTATACCCCTTCAAAGAGAAGGAATTGGAGCATAGAATGTCCCAAGTGATTCCTTGTATGTGTGGGCGACCCCTAACCCTGCTGACATAAGCATATAAAAGCCCGTGTTATAATGCATTTCTGAACCCCAAATTGTATGGCACATAAAGAAGTCATTGCAAACACCTCAGTGTTCGAGTACAGCATCTTCATCTCAATTTATGTAGTCCAGGTGTGTCAGTTTTCAGGCAGTGTCCACTTAGTGAGGTACACCCACACCCTCCTTGCTCGGGTTGTTTAAAGACAGACACTGAGGCACCCGGCGCCCCATGCACGTTCCTCCTGTTTGTGCCCAGGGCTCCGTTTGCGTCTAGTAAAACACCACCCAGTGAATAAATACGTCTGCATTGAGACAGAGTGAGGATTCCAACAGTTAACGCGGGGTGAGATTGCATCACATTTGAGGCCTCTGCATACCCTGAGACCGTGTGCTGCTTTAAACAAAAGGCAGATGGGAGAACTAACAGTGGGTTTCAAATAAGTTTTCGATTCTATTTTGTGTCTCTGCGTGTACATGCCAACACGTACTACGGTGCCTGCGTGGAGGTCAAGGGGCAACACGCAGGAGACGGCTCTCTCCTTCCACTGCCTGGGCCCCAGGGATCAAACTCACATCGTCAAGCTTGGCAGCAAGCACCTTTACCTGTGCAGCCATCTCACCAGCCCCCAAACAAGTTTTAAAATGATGACCCCCACAAAAAGACCCGCTGACACATGCCCCTAAGCCCAGGGAACATAAAGTTTTGCTAGGGAAAACAAAAATAGCAAACTAGCCTAGAGCCACAGAGCCATGTGAAGTGCAGGTAGCCAATGCTGGGCTGGAAGAACTCAGAAAACCTTTGATCAAGAAAGGACAGAGACAGAGGGCTTCTTCCCGAGGGAGGAGGAGGGAGATGAGAGACAGCCATGAAGAAGGGTTCACCAAGGTGCACAGAGAGGCTCTCTAAGGGGGTGATGGAGCTGAGTGATGAGAGAGGTGAGCTGGAAACGGGGTGAAAAGAGCGGGGCATTTTAGAAGTTATCACCATATTGGCACAGTGGCCATGGGTGGCGTACTCATGGAGCCCCTGCAGTAAACAGGACGCTGGGGAGACCGGTGCCCTTGCTTACATGAACTGCAGTGTTGGTGTACATACTGGAAGAAGGCAGAGAGAGTCCATAAGCAAACCCATAGAGTAATTACTGTGAACACTGTGAAATGGTGTGCTATGAATGATGAGATTACTTTGGAGTTGGGGTGTGGTCTCTGTGTCAAGGGGCAGCGCTTCTCCAAAAAGATGATACAAGGGCAGGACTCAAAAGATGGTAAGGGGGCAGTTGTATAAGGATCCCTGGGTAGAGAAAAATATCGGATGCAAAGGTCCTGAGGCAGGGAATCACTTGGCTTGTGGAGGAGCTGCAGGACACTGCAGCTGGGACCCAGGAATCAAGGAGCAGGTGGCGGGGAGTATCCAGAGGATGGGTGTGCAGGGTCTGAACAGCTTGGAGTGTAGCAGGCACCATGGAAGGGCCGGCTCAAAGTCTCTCTCCATCTTTTTCTTAGAGGCCAGAAAACTTCTTGACACTAAACAACAGCAAGGGTCTGCCCACCCTGAACCTGAAGATCCTAGATGAGAATCTGGGTGCCATCCGTGAGTCCTGGTCCAAGAGCTCCTCAGACTCCTCTCAGGAAGGAGAGGAGCCTCAGACTTTGCACGAGATGGTGAGTACCTCTCCCTAGGACATGGAGAACTTGTGCCGTGATAGTGCAATGGGAAAGGAGGCTCAAGAGCCACCCCTTGAGATCACTCCCCAGGCGGCAAGTGGTCCACCCCTTTGCACACCTCCCCAAACATTAGCCAGTGGGAGGAAGAGGAAGAGGAGACTCCTTCTGTGGTTTCCTCACCTTTTAGGTGGGCTCTTACTGCTCAGTCATGTTCAACTCAGGGTATGTCCCTCGGGCCATGGGAAGCCCCCCAAGAGACTAACTGTACCTTATAAAGGAGGCAGTATACTATGTTCAGATGCAGTCTGTGTCTTGATCTTGGGACCTGGCCTCAGGATGGGTCACTTTTGAGTCTCAACCTCTTTGTACAAACAATAAAAGAGTACACACTCAAGCTGGGTGGTGATGGTGAACCCCTTTAATCCCAGCACTCGGGAGGCAGAGGCAGGCGGATCTCTGAGTTTGAGGCCAGACTGTTCTACAAGAGCTAGTTTCAGGACAGGTTCCAAAGCTACAGAGAAACCCTGTATTGAAAACTAAGAGAGAGAGAGAGAAAGAGAGAGAGAGAGAGAACACAACACTCAAAAGCTCAAAAGATAATCCCGCTGAAGTCCCCAGTGGAGATATCACCACCCCCGTCAATGACCATGAGAGATTCCATGTGTGGCTTTCTATGGCCCTCCACAGTGGATTCCACGAGCAAATGCTACCCCAAAGTACCCAAGGAAAGGACTTAGGCAAAGCCACCCATCTAATCCTCAGGTCTCCTCCTGAGGACTTGCCCTTCTCTACTGACAGTCTCTTCATCTACCCTTGGCACTTGGCACCTTTCTGAAACATGTCCCATCAGACAGTAGGAAAGGCAGCTGCCTACTGAGTGTACCCAAGAGAAGGTCTCCACATAGAGCACCCTCCCCAAGAGCAGAGCCTTCCTATACAAGCAACAGCTCTCAGAGACATTTCTAGTACACACATGCTACCTTCGCCCTGTGGAGAAGCAGGGCTCAGGAGCCACCTCCAGTCCAGCCATCAGTTGCATTGAAAATAAAGGTACAGGTCTTGGCCTGGGAGATTCGGGACAGCACGGGTAAGCCAGTTCTTGTCAACTCGCACAACCTCATCCAAAGTGGTATAGGGAAGAAGGTTGGTTTTCAAAAGCCAGGGCAGTGAGAAAAAGTGAAAGGGCCACTCCAGGAAAGGGCAGATGGGAAGGAGGGAGAAGGAAGGTGGTCCTCCCTGGTGACCACCAGAGAATTTCAGTGAGATTCTGCCCTCACCCCACTGCCTTGCCATGAGCCAACCAAGCCTCAGCCTTACCCAGAGGGCAGAGTTCACCCTGAGTCACACTACCTCTGAGAGTAGACCCTGCCCGAACATCCGGGACGTAGTGTGAGCAAGCAGTGAGCAGTGCCAAGCTCCATCCCACAGCTGGGAATGGCAGGGACTCTCTGGTAAGGCCTGAGCTGCGGGCAGCAAGTCTGAGAACCTGGTTCATGCGCAATGAGAAACACACATAACTTAATGCTGTGCCCTTGTGTGTGATGAGAGACATAAAAAGGGGTTGAAAGAGGGGCTCATTGCACCTATGAAATTGATGGAGGGAGATAATGGATGGGAGAGAAGGAGGAGAAAATGACTTGGGAAGAGCCTTTCAGGATAGGATGGTTCTGATGGGTGGACATTTGAGGACCTGACTTTAAATGTCAGGAAGGATGGTATAACATGGATGGACAGGCCAGGTCCTCTTGACTTTTTCTTAAGGATTCAGCCAAAAGAGAAGAATTAGACTGCAGCCTGAGAAGTTAAGGTCAGCCATTAGGACAAATTCTTTCTGACCAAGAATAACCACCATTGGTAACCTGTTTTCATTTTACCAGTGGTGGTTATGACCTGGTCCAGAAGTAATGTGATACCTGCCCAAGGCTCCTGACCTTATCACCCATGCTATATAGCATCCAGAGAATTCCGGGTGGCTGCAGAAGCTTGTGGTTAGCTACCCACCTTCCATGCCCTGTAAAAGCTCATGGCCCTGGCCCTCTTTCCTGCCCATCCAGTCTACTCCAGACCCATGTTAACCTTGAATCCTCCTTCAGGACTCTTGGTTTCAGCTTTTGTCTTCCTGTGCCTGATTTAGCCCTCTAACACAGCACAAGGACTCTCTCCCCGCCCCTGCTCTCTCCCCAGCCCCCTTGCCATCGTGTTATCCCAGCTGCTCTCCTACAAACCTACAGGCCAGAGCTCAGAAAGATGAGGGCAGGGCCCAGCTATACACCTTCCCCATGGCCAAGAGAACCCAGTTGCAAGTAACAGAATGTGGTTGGGTAGCAACGGGCTACAGTTCCATGCCAATCACAAGCAGCTGTGCAGCCATGGGTCACTGTTCCATGGCAACCAAAGAAAATTACATAGCAATGGATGAACTCATGTAACCAAGAGGCAGAGTGACAAGCCAGAGAAGACAGCCATGGGGCCCAGGACTGTTTCTGCATAGCAATAGACCCTGATGTAAGATGATGTCATCCAGCACCATAGGGCAGGGAGGAATGATTGTGGGACAGAGCACAGGCACAGCACCTGTGCTTCAAGGCACAGATCTATAGCAGCAGATACCTGAGGAGCCCGGAGGAACCTGAGCAGCAGTGACAGTCATGAGGTATGTGACTCGGGACTTGTATCAGGCAGTGTCATCCGCAGAGCCTGTAGGTGAGGCAGGGAGCCTTATGACACAGCAGTTTTTGCGAGGTGACCCAAGGATGAATGAGCGGCCCCCTCTGCTCTCTTCTGTGGCCTTGGCTGAGCCTCTCTGCATCACCTGACTTCCATGGCGCCTCATTCTCTGTCTAGTGTCGCTGTGCAGTCCCCAGAGCCTCAAATCCATCTTCTCTCTGGCTCCCTCCTGAGTCTACTTGTGAGCACTGAGGACTGAATATTCTCTGGAAAGGGGTTCCTTGGGGACAGAGGAACAGGTAGAAGGGATCTGGTCTGTGGCCTTTTGTGCAATGCTCCCTGCCCCTCACAGCACATAGACCCCAGTCAGGACTCCTACCAAGCCCAGCCATTTCTTCCCATCCCCAGACATCTGGCTCTAATGCAGTCATTCCAGGGACCATGTTTTTTCAGGGCAGTAAAAAGCTCAGTGCTGGGTGGGACCACGGAGATCAGGGGTAAGACAGACCCACGGCAGAGCTAAGGGAAGCAATTGCGTCCCTTATGAGCAGCCCGGAACATACATTTCTTTGGAAATGTTCAGCTCCCGAGCCATTCTGAAAGGGACAGTTATTCCAAGACCCATTTTGCCAGTATCTTGTCCTTATCCCTGACATCTGAGCCACCTCACTGAAGCTAGCTGGTGTCTCCTGATGCCACCACCACAGGGGGTAAACTGAGGAGTTCTGTTCAGTCTTCAGAGCGGCCGATCACAGAGACCCATGAGACATCTCCAAATCATCAGAAACCTAGGATGACCCAACCTAATGAGTGCCCAGTCCTACACCCAGTGAGGCCGTGGGGGCAAGAGAGGGGATGGAGGCCTGAGAACTGGAAATCCCCTTGAGATAAAAATAGCCACAGACTGTCAACCACACAGAGAAGACAAGAATGAACATGTGAGGATGGACAAGCAGGGAGATATGATCCAGACAAAGGACCTTCCTAAAGGCAGGGTGGGGAGAAAAGGAGAGAGGACCTAGGAAGGCTTCCTGAAGGAGGAGGACCAGGCTTTAGACAAGGTATTCCGTGTCTTTTCCACCCAGAGGCTCAAGCAGGGTTTGTTCTGCTGCCCTCCACTCCACCGTTGTTCACTTACTCACTCTCTTTCTCCCCTCCCCCCACATGTACACACACACATACACAAACACACACACATACACACACATCCATGCCCATATGCACACACATGCCATTGTCTTTGTATATTGCCATTTCTTTCTGATATCAGCCCTCTCTTTCCCTCCCCCTCTCTTTCTTTCCATTTCCCTCCCTCCCTCTGCCCTGCTCACAGCAGCTCTGAGGCCAACCAGAGGGCCCCCGCATCCTAGAAAATGAATAATTGACAGGGTTGTTAAAAGATTCAGTGGACTTTTCTAAGCTCCCCATGCTGGAATAACTCATTTCTCTCATCCTCTCTTTGAAAGCCTTTCCCTTCCCTCCTCCCATCCCCTAGTCCCTACCCCACCCCCAGTCCAAGCTTTTCTTTTCCTTTCCTGAGTCTATGAGTCCTACAAGGCTCCGTCCTTGACCCAGAGGTCTCTTTAAGTCACTGGCTGTCCTTGTCCTGTTTAAACTGCTCTTAGGGGTGGCAGGGTGACTCCCCCTGAGAGGGGCCCATGTGCATATGGAGAGAGAGGCCTGGGGACTTCACCTGAGGCACACAGCTGACTGAATGCAGCTCAGTCCAGGAGGTCAGACTCCCCAGGCCAAGGCCACCTTCCTAGGCTGGTGCGGAGGAGTCTCTGCTGTGCCTGCCCATTTTTGTCACTTCATGTCCCTGTGTCCTGATTTACTGTCTGTAACATGGAAGAGCTGCCTCCTTGGGCAAAGGAGATGGGTAAGGCCTTGAGAAGGGAGGTTGGTCATGCGGCAAAGCTCCCTGTGAACTGAAGCCTTTGTTCCTCCTTTGCATGGGCAAAGGGCAGCCAATCTCCCTATTTAGTCTGGGCAAATGTTGCCTGGCCATCTCCACGCCACGGGAACTTCCCTTCTCCAAGCCTGCCTCATTCTGAGTCCCTCATATCTTCTGCCTCCTTCAATACCCCATGGCCACAGGACACAATGTTGCCTGGCCTAGCTCCATGCTGGGCTCTGCACTCACTCCCATTGCTCCTTGAAGTAACCTTGAGCTCAACCCTCCTCTCTGGGCCCCAGTTCCTGCCTTTGTCAGCAGGAGACATTGGAGAAGATGTGCCCTAGTTCCTCAAGACTGGGCAGTGTAGTTGGAGCTTCCTCCTTCCCCAGACCCCACCCAGGTGAGTGGATGCTCAAAGCTGACTTTGGCTCCT